CCAAGACATTTCTGTTCGCTGTGAAGTTCATTACCAAGAATTAATCTCAACTTCGTAATATGCTTCTGCAAGTGTAATTCGATGAGAGGGATAAGTTTTCTTTGAAATCGGACAGAGCGTGAGCACCGCTAAGTCTGCCAGGTAGGATTTGAGAAGCGTCAGGACGAAGATGCTAAGAAAACTTCAGCATTTTCACGTCGTGCTTAGTGCATTTTGCAAATCATCTGATTAACAAGTATGTTATTTCAGCAACAAAAGGCTGCTCAGGACGTTACGAACAACTGGTATCGCGTGTCGGAGCAGCTCTGTCGTTGCTGCTGAGCGCTGTAACTGTCTATCTCTTCGTCCATTATTTCAACATCGGCATTGATGGGTTCAAAGTGACTTCCTCAATCGGTTACCTCTTATTTTGTAACTGTCAAATTTTAACGTATGATGCAGTTTCAAATGGCTGGAGCCGTTGGTTCTAGTTTGCGAGTGGTAATTGTCAAATCTTGTACAGTTTGCTTCCATGAAAATTGACGCTTTCATGCCTAACATGTCAGAGAGTGGAATCGCAACCTGACAGTAATGGTTTCTGCTGTCAAGTATTATGCTTTGAGCCACTTCCTTATGCCTCCTCTGAGTGAAATTTAAACGGGTTTCGAATTTTGACTGATATATTGTTGACTCTATAGTAACTAGCTGTGCGCAGTGGTAAAATTTTGCTTTTTTTTCAGCATTTAGCATAAAAGAATTCGAAAAATTCGTGGATAAATCGGCAATATGGCTATTATGTATTGGTGTTGTTAATTTTTTTACAGAAACACTCACTGTCGTAATAAGGTAAACCTTTTTGGTGTCATCCGTTATGGCTGTAATGGTATTTACTAGAATTATCAAAAAATTCACAAAATTCTTTCGGAATGATTAGCGCTGAGCTCGCGGTGCTGTTAGTGTGCAACTTCGTACAGATCGCATTCTTGTCGGGTTCATCCTCTGTGCTGCCAGTCTACAGTTGCTAATATTCGTACTCAGCAGTTGTTGGCATCGACTTTTTGGAAATTGTCCAGGTAGTCGCTTTTAATTTCACTTGCTGATACGTGATTTGGGTTATCACGTGCCAGTGGGCGAGATTGGAAGGCAGTTGATCTGGTTTTTTCATTCGTTTTAAGCATTTTGAGTTTTACCGTTTATTTTATGCTTTCTTAATTTCATTAGCGTTTTAGATTTATCACTGAAAGACACAACTGCAAAATTAGATCATTCTTCCACATGATTTA